TTAAAAAAAAACCCCCAAAAAAAAAAAAAAAAAAAAAAAAAAAAACTTGAAAATAAAATTTGAAAATTAAAAAAAAAAAAAAGTTTAGGTACCTACTAGTCTTGGTAGATACCTTCTCAGGATGGATGGAGGCTTTTCCCACTATGGGGGAAACAGCAGATATAGTGGCTAGCTGTCTAATCCAAAACATCCTTCCCCACTTTGGCCTCCCCCTTACCCTCCAATCAGACAATGGCCTGGCCTTCATCTCTAAAGTGACCCAGGTGGTGTCTTATTCCCTGGGAATAACCTGGAAACTATACATTCCCTACCGTCCCCAGTCATCAGGCAAAGTGGAACAGGCTAATTCACTTCTCAAGGATCACCTTACTAAACTTTCCTTGGAATTACATCAATCCTGGGTCACTCTCCTACCCCTGGCTCTAACCAGGTTATAAGCCATCCCATGAGCTCCATCCTTTTTAAGTCTTTTTGAGCTTACATATGGCAGGCCTTTCCTCCTAAGCAATGTGCCACTCCAACAATCCTCTCCCCTCCACAACTACATACCTGCTTTCACACTTCTAGGAAAACTCCTCAGGGAGCATGCCAACCAGATTATCCCACAGGCATCCAAAAACCAGATCTTCCATCCCCTTCAGCTTGGAGACTATACCTACCTCCGGTCCACTGATTAACATAAGGGACTGAAAAGAACCCTCTGGTCACACTGGACTGGACTCCATCTCATGATCCTGTTTGCTCCAACAGCAGCCAAACTCCTAGGACAACCAGGCTGGGTCCACCTCTCTAATTCAAGTCTGCTCAGGAACACACTGGATATAAAAAACTGACAGACATGATGGACAGGGAATGTGTTAACACCAACAGATACCAGGAAATGGCAGTCTGAGAGGAACCCTTCAGATCCAGCCTCATCACCTTATTTCAAACCCCTCCCCCTTTTGTCATCAACCTTACTCAGCAGGAAGTAGCCAGAGAAGAAACGCCATCCCAAATCCTATAACATAAAAGGTTAGAATGACAGGGTTCATATTCAGGCGACCCCAGGCCCAGAAACCATAAGGCCCCTAAGAGGAACTAAGTCAGCCAACTCCCAGCCACCTTCAAGCTGACAAAAGCAGCTCCAGAAATTAGTGACCCAATGTGTTGTGATCACCAGAGCATGCTGCACAGGCTGACAAACAGGTTTCCCAAGCCCTGTAACTGCAATGGGTTCCTGGAACCCTGTAATTGTAGAAAATATATTTTACAATAGATGTTTTCCTCAATAAGTTTCACCAGGTACAGACCCCACACCCTCCTTGAACAGCCCCAAAACAGTCCCAAAGAGCAGAAAAATATTCTCTTTTTCCACATTATTTCCCTTTATAAGCTTCCCCCCTGCAGCCATTAGGCTGCTGGTTTTTACTCAGTCCTGAGTTACTCACACCCAGCCCCACCAACCCATTAATCTCTCACTTTGCCAGAATCCTCTCTTTTTCTGTTTTGTGGTGACCCCAACCCCTGCCACCTTTTTATCTAACAATTGTGACAGCATTACCATCCTCATCCTGCCTTCTAGGCACACCAGGACCCTCAGTCTACAAATATCCTCAATCAGAAGCTCCCTGAGACTCAAACCCAAAACCACACTAACTTAGAATCTGCTCCAACTACTAATCCTTAGGGGGGTTTTTCGTATATAAATGTCCTTGTTAAATGACTAGCTGCTAATATCACATAAACCCCAACTTTGGTATATGTACCCCAATTTATACCACAGTCTCCTGAAATAAAACAGCTTAGCTGTGAATGATCCTCTTAGAAGACAGGCTCAGTGGGATATGGGGCAATCTGACAACTCAGCTCCCTGTCCATGAAACATATAACACAGCCATAGATGGGGAAATGGGAAATAATGAAACATTCTGTTTTCTGAATTTCCTTTTTCTATCTAATAATGGAAACTCCCAGAAGAGTTCAATAATTCTGAATCTTCTCTCTAAGGCAAGATTTATGCCCTTGAGGAATATAGAAAAAGACAGCTTGTGCCTGCATAAATAAATGTTATCATAAACTTTCTTATCTTCAATTTGTTTCCTTATTTGTTTTTCCAAAAGAAAGCCATGCTTTTCTCTGATAGAAATCTATTTTTCTTTTTTAAAAAAATATTTATTTTTATTTAATGTGTATGAGTGTTTGTCTGCACATATGTATCACATGTGTTCCTGGTACTCTCAAAGGCCAGAAGAGGGTGCCAGGTTCCCTGGAACTGGAGTTAACAGATGTTAGCTTCCATGCTGGGAACCTGGGTCTTATGCAAGAGCAGCAAGTGCGCTTAACCACTGAGCCATCTCTCCAGTCTCCTACCTTCTTTTTTATTTTTCCCCCATTTTCCATTAGATAGGTGACTTTTTGTTGTTGTTTGTTTTTGTTTGAAACAGGGTGTCCCTGTAGCCCCAGCTGGCCTGGAGCTCACCATGTAAACCAGGCTAGTCTTGAACTCACAGAGATCCAGCTGCCTCTGCCTCCCAAGTACTGGGATTAAAGGCATGTGCCACCATGCCTGGCCCTAGATATGTGACTTTTTAACTTTAGCCATTCATGGAGCCACTTACTATGCCCACATCCATGTGAATAAACTTTTGGCCTGGTTTTTGTTTTTGTTTTTGTTTTTCCTGAAGCTAATCTGTCTTAGATTAATTCATTTGTCCCAATCATTGAAGCTAAGTAGAACAAGGGAGATACCCTCTTCCCTAACAGTAGTTAACCATGTAGCTCTGCAGAAGAGCTGGAACAGCATTTAAGGAGAACCAATGGGTTGAAAAGATAGCTGCTCTTACAGAGGACCCTCGTTTGGTTCCCTGCATCCACATGGTGGCTAACAAACATTCGTAACTCCAGTTCCAAGGCATTCGACTGCCTATTCTGGTCTCCATGAACACTCCACACACATTGTATACTTATACTGTGCAGGCTAAACTTTCAGACATATAAACTAAAAATAAATACACATGAAAAAGAGAGAGAGTTAAAAGATGAAGTTGTGCACTGAGGAGAAGGAGGCAAAGGACCAGAGGACAAATGTGAAACAGAAGTGAAGGTCAATAAAACCAGAACATTCTTTGGTTGTTACTAAAAGAAATCTATAGCCTACCAATTATACAAATAAACATGAGAGGATAAGGCTCAATAAAATAGAATTAATTTTTATCTCATATAGATTATTCAAAAGCAAATGTTAAAAAAACAAGAACTTTCCATCGCCTAAACAGTATTTAGGAAGTGATATTCCTATATAATTAAGAGTAGAAAGCAAATGCTTAAATGTTTCTGTTGTTGCAAAAATGATTATCATCCAAATACCTATGTGAACTGGAACTGTCTAATTTTGTGCTCAAAATAACTCTGTCGTGATTACGACCATGACCTCTTAAGAAGAACTGTAGTGAAATGAGAAGCCTTGGTCTTCATCTTTGCAAGATCTGCTTTATTCATTGTAGATGCTCATACTTCATAACACATCTTATCAATAAGAATTAGACTAGCCTGATAAAGTCAGTGCCCAGGATTTTCAAAACTTGTGAGTCTAAATATTTAAAACACAAGCAATTATTGTGTCCTAAGGCTATAAAAAGTGAGCATTTCACTACTCCCCCTCTAAGTAACAGGAGTGTATCATTTCCAAAGGTCTAAGAACAAGGGAGATACCCTCTTCCCTAACAGTAGTTAACCATGTAGCTCTGCAGAAGAGTTGGGCCAGCATTTAAGGAGAACCAGGAAGCAGCCTTGAGCTCTGTTCCCAGTAGCTTGTGTCCATGTTCACCTTCCAGCTTCACTGCTAAAACATCTTTGGGACCAAGGATACATCTTCAGGTTCAGTGACAGTTCAAAAGTCTCTATTTCAGTGTTGGTCACAATGTATCTTCTATAAACGTTTGCTAAAAAAAAAAAAAAAGGAAAAAAAAATTATGGCCACTAAGGCCACCAAATGCTTCTTGGTTGCTCATATCATGGTCTGCTGTTCAACGCTATACAACTTTCTCCCTTTCTTGCTTAATGATACCCACCTTCTTGAAGCTCTCGTAGCTTCAGTTATATGAACTTCTCTCAGTCTCACCCTCTTCCTTGTTTTCTTTCTCAGCCTGCTCTTCCGGCTCTGTTTTCACTTGTCACCCCTCAGATGTTGATGTGTCTCATGGCTCTCTACTTGAACCCTTTCTCTTCTCAGTCTCCACTCTTTAGACCATATCAACTTCCTCCACAGTTTTAATCTCACATTTCTCCAACACTACTACTCACTTGATTTCCTAGAAAATATTTACAACTGCCTCTTGACAGGTGTTCTACAGAAACTTAAAATACAGTGTGTTCAAAGTAGAGTGTTTCCTCAAACACTCCCTTCCAGCAAGGATTGAACTGTCCATATCAAACAATCCCCAGGGGGTGCCCATTCAAAGTCATGTCCAAAATGATTGGCAGCAGAAGTGTTTATTTTTTCTGATTTTGAAATAATGAGATAATGTACAGGGTAGGATCAAGTCTAAAAACAACATTGTCATATATGTTTAATATACTCCTTAAACACAGAGCTTAGGATAATGTTTTGGCGTTTTGTTTTGTTTTTTTACTTTTTTGAGACAGGGTCTTTCTGTAACCCCAGCTGGCCTAGAACTTGCTATATAGCAAGTTCTATCTCTCAAGATCTGCCTGTCTCTGACTCTTCAGTGCTGGGATTAAAGGCATGCACCACTATGCATGGCATAATGGTAATTTTATACAGTATTTTTAGTCTGCCTGATTTTGGCTTCTGATCTGTCACATTTAGTTTAGGTTTAGAATTTTCCATTATGGCATCATGTAAGTGCTCAAAAGTTTCAGATTTTGGATTTGTGGATTAAGGGGTGTCCAATTTGTATTGTCCCAAGGCATAAAAGTCTTTTCCTCAGTTATGATAAACATATATATAATATTTATATATTCTCTTAGTTGAAGTGTAATGCTCTAATATCCTATGGTTTTTCTCATCTGTAGCTATATAATATACAACAAAAAAATATCTAAATAAGAATAATTTGTATGTTGGATTCATTTGATATTTGCCTTGTTAATACAAGAAACCAGAAACCTGAAGAAAATGATTAATTTTTCAATGTACTTTTTATGTATCTTTTATAGGCAAGTTTGTAATTTGCAACCTAACTTCAACAACGAAAAGTTGATACAGGCAGGACTTACCAGTTAATTTAAGCATATTCAAACCTAGGTGAATAATGTTCAGTAAAGCTCTGGTTTTAACTCCCTGAGTTTCTGGTATTAATCGCCAATGGTTTCTAATATCATTCAATGTACATGAAGGTATGCTTCAGTAGCACAGGAACCCTCCAAGTCATGGATATCATAAGCTAAATAACAGCCTCTAATGTCAGTGTCCCATGATGTGTGAATGCGAAAGCAAATTAGCTGATAAGTTAAAAATGGGAAATAATACGGGATTATGAAAATGATCCCAATAAAATCAAAGAAGCCTTTAAAAGATGGGAGCAAGAAGGTCCAGTTAAGAGAAGATGATATGACAATGGAAGCAGAAGACGGAGAAAGGAGGGAAAGACAGATTTGAAGAAGTTAGGATGCTAGCTTTGAAGATCAAGAGAAGGCTGCTAAGACAAGACCGAGACAAGACAAGAAGTAGAAAGTACTGTAATAACTAAGCTGATATAATGCTCAAACTAAAAATATATAATTATAATCTTAGAATATAAATTTGAAATCCTGTATGTTTACCATAACCATCAAATCTATATGGTTTGAGTCTGGAACATCCTTTGATGTTTCATGTATTGAAACCATGGTTCCCAAAGCACCAGTGTTCAGAGGTTGAGTCTGGGGAAGGTGATTGGATCATAAAGGCTCAGACCTGCTGGATTCATAACATGAAAGCATATTGCCATTCCAAGGTGATGAAAACTTTCAGAGCTAGATCCTCATGAGAGAAATTAGGTCACTGGGGGGGTGCCCTGGAATGGGATGTCCTTCCTTCATTTTTCTCTCTCTCCCTCCCTTTCTTTCTCCTTCCTGTCCCTGATGAGTTCAAGGCCTTGTTTCTTAACTATTCCTCCACCATAATGTTCTGCCTCCACTCAAAGAGCCAGGTAATCCTGGACTGGAACCTCTAAAATAATTAGCCAAAATAAATCTTCCCTCTTTTCCTGTGAACTGGAGCTGTAGTCAATTCCTATGAGCCAGAGTTGCTGTCCTCTCATAAAAGTTGGAGCTGTGATCCCCTCCAGGAAATAGGAAGTTTTCGTCCCTTCCCTTGAACCTGGAGCTGAGGTTTCCCCCTCCTGTGGGCTAGAATTGTGGTCCTCTCTTGTGAGCTGGAGCTGTGTTCTCCTAAACACCCACCCCCACACACACATCCACCCATCCCCCATACCCCCTACACCTCCCACCCCTCCACCCCACCCCACCCTGGTGAGCAGGAGCTGTGGTTCCCTCCTATGAACCTGGAACTGCAGTCCTCTCCTGTGAGCTGGAGCTATGGGCCCCTCCGGGGAATTGAAACTCTGGTCCCCTCACAAGAGCCTGAAGCTTTGGTCCCCTACCCTGAGCAACGGTTCCACATTCCTCTGGCAGTAGGCTGATGGTGGAATAGAGTGGAGCACACAGGACTTCCTGATGTTGATTTTTCAGTGTTCTCTGAGTGACTACATTCCCTACAGCCTCTTCCTCTGAGACCCCAGTTTGTGCAAGGCAGAGGCTTTGCCTGTTATGCTGGGGACAGGGGAGGACTCTGTTATTTATAGATTTTGGTTTTGGGAGGACTGATTTTCTGGAACAGACTTCCCCTGAAGCCCAGCTGTGGTCCTCACTCCACACGTGGTCCTGGGCATCCAAGCTTTCATATTGGACCTTACCCATTCCAGGGCACCCAGAGGTTTTCTGTTATTTTTTATTACACTTCTACAGCCCCAGTGTGCCTTCACCTATGCCTTATTGAACTTCTAGAGATAAAGTCACAGGGGTTGGAGAGTTGGCTCAGTGGTTAAGAGCACTGACTTGCAGAGGACCCGGGTTCAATTCCCAGCACCCACATGGTGGCTATGAACTGTCCTTAACTCCAGTTCCAGGGGAATCCAAAGCCCTCTTCTGACCTCCACAGCATTGCAAGACACGGGTGCACTCACATACATTCAGGCAATACACTCATACACATAAAATAAAAAATAAATAAAATATTTTTTTTAAAGTCACAGTCTGGGAAGTCAGAAAGAAAAAAAATTTTTAAAGTATTGTGATAACTAAACTGATATAATGGTCAAACTAAAAATGTATTATATCAGAATATAAATTTAAAAATCTATATTTCTACTATTTTTTAAAAATATTTATTATTTTTATTTTATGTATGCATGTATTTTGTGTATGCATGTATTGCCTGCATGTAGGTAAGTGCACCCGTGTCGTGCAATGCCCGCAGAGGACAGAAGAGGCTGTTGGATCCCCTGGAACTGGAGTTACGGACAGTTGTTAGCTGCAATGTGGGTGCTGGGATTTGAACCCGGGTCTTCTGCAAGAACAACTAGTGTTCTTAACTGCTGAGACATCTCTCCAGCCCCTCTACTTTAAGTTTTGAATATTGTTTACTGACAAAATTGTACCACCAAGCTTCAACAGTAATGTGAAATCTGTCACTGTTTCTATAAAGTGTGTTTACCTTTCACTCCCTTTCCAAATTCTCCAAACTATACAAAGTTTTTCAATGTAACCACATTACTTCTTAAAAAGAGCAATGCCAATAAAATGTTTTTTAATGTTAGGTGTGGTGACAGACACCTTTAATCCCAGCACTCAGGAGGCAGAGAGACCCTGTGTGTATGTGTGTGTGTCTTTAAATATTCCCTCCTTTAAGTTGTACCTTGCATTTTTGTCAAAATGATAGAAAACTGGCTAACAATAAGAAGTGCAAGGGTCCTTTAGGAAGTTGAAAAGAGAAGACGTTTCTCCCCACCAGCAACCAGAAATTCATCAATGACTACACCTTGATTTTAGAACTTCTGCCCTTCAGAATTATAATAAATCCTTTTTCTTAAATATAGTTGACAAAGTGTCCAGGTTAGCAGGAACCTGAAAACTCACTGGGCACTCTAGCAAGAGGAAGAGCACATGGAGATCTCTGGCCCATTCGACTGTACTTTGGACTGGAAAACAACACATCACTTTGGTTCATTATTCATTGCCCAAGGGTCATATGATATTATCTGCAATGCGGCTGGCAAGACTGTTCTCTTGTGAATGTGGAGGAAAAGAAAAACCAGGTATTAGCAAGTACTAGGAATGGCTGTCCTAGCCTCATACCTGTCAGAAAAGGGCAAGAGAAATGTTTTTCACCTGACTTGGTCTAGATATTCCTCTTTCATTGCAAATGTGCCTGTCTCTATGGGGTGCCCTGTCCCCTTATTAATTACAGAGAATTTTCAGTATTTGAAATTCTTCACATTTACATGTCATATAAAATTCTCAACTCTTCAGCTCTAGCTATTACAAAGCTTTTCAAAAATCAAAGAATTTAAAGAATATGTTTCTCTAATACTGTCACTGTCCCTTGACCTCTCTTTATTTCCAAATAATATTGTCTTCTGTATCTTATTTGCCCTGTATTCAAGCACAGCAACCCACTTATAAGCCACGTTTTCTCTTTATGAAAGAAAGAATGCACAACTGGACACTAACTCTAGTAGAGTTCTCTAGAGAAAGATGTGTAACCACTTCATGAAAGTTTTATGTGACTCATTTTGTGTATGTATATGTGCGTCTTAAATGTTCTCAATCAGATGTGATTTTATTCTGTACATAATTAAATGTAATAGATAAGGAAAATTATCTAAATTTTATTTATTAATTTATTTATTTTATTGATTCTGTTGTCTGCATGTATGTA